CGCCACAGAGAAAAGACAGCTCAGCGCTGCAGTGCTACATTTATTATTATTGTTGTTATTATTATTAGTAGTAGTATTATGTCACATGAAAGGAGTCGGCCTTCATCTGTTACTTTTGTAATATGACCTTAACCTGCATCAGTTTTACTGACATCATTTGTTTATTAGCATCTCGCCTCTGTCTGTTTTATATTTTGAATATTTTAATATTTTATTTTAAAGTTTCACACTCTCCTTTATAAAACACATGATTTATGTATGATATAAAATTATTAAGTTATTTTTTTTTAACAGGGCAAATTAAGTATATAATAAATATAAATAAATCTGAAATTATGGAAATACAATAAATATTATTGTATTTATTCACTCTGCAACTCTGTGCAGAGTGAATAAATATTTTTACACGAGTTCCTTAAACAGACGTTTACAAAAAGAGATTAAATTGTTCTTTTATCACTTTATTAAAATGATTCAGTAGATTTAGTTCTTTTCCAACCACAATTAGATCCCCAAAAAACCTGCATAGAAAAATGAACATATTGTGTTAATGTCACCAAATATTAAATATTCAACACGGAAAGCCTGAGTAGGCGAGGTCACCTGTGTCACCTGCCGTCGTCGGTGATGATGTCACAGCGGCTCGTGTTCCGAAGGCCGGATTTGGGCCAGGGAGCAGAAATGTGCCCACATCAACGCCGCAGCACCTCGCCGTGTGACCATGGTGATGACATCACCTCTGCGGTTCTCTGGTGGGAAACGCAATCGACTCTATTGTGTTTTTATCCATTTCTACTGTTTCTGTATCAACAGAACAACATTAATTACGCGGTGATGATGGCGGCAGTGACGCTAGTGTGTCTTTAAACTTGTGTTTTCCCACCGGCTGCAGAAACCCGACATATGTTTACAGGAAGCCGGTCGTGTCTGTGCAGGTCTGAGCTGATAAAGCCAGACTGAGGATTATGGTAATAACAGGCTGCCACCGACTGACTGACTATAGAACGGGTGGGCGGGCTGCAGACTCTTATCAGCGTGTTGCAGTGGGCGATTCTTCACGTGGTCACGTGACGGGCGACACCTCGGCTCACAATGCAGCCCCATAAAGAGAAACTGCTCCACGGTTTTATCTCCAAACCAGAGAAAATGACTCAACGCCGCAGCGTGATTGTTTTAAAAATGTGGCATGTTCAAAAGCGAGGACTCAGACATCACATGTGATCGCTGATAATCAGTAATTACATTTTCCTCCGTGGTTATTGTCAGCTTCAGAGGGGGTGCTGTGTTTTTTCAAAAGCCTGCGAAAGTCCCAAAAAAAACCAAACTGAGACAAAAATGTAAAGAAAAGAAAGTGAAACAAACATTTTGAGGTAAAAATCAGATTTCGTGCAGTCAGAGGAGAATATTTCAGCGGCGTTGTGGAGCTGACGCACCCCGCCATCAACTCATCAGATAAGAACGCCGCTCTGCAGCTCCTTCGGCCGAGCCAGTGACCTTCAGGTGATGGAGGCGGAAACACATTTCCTGGAGCAGACTTTTTTCAGAAGGACAGTTTCTTCTGTTCACAGTGAGATTGCGGAGAGGACGCCTTGTGTTTCCTTTCAGGACGCAGAATGGGATGAAACTGTATGTACAGTTGCCAAGGAGACAGCAGGCAGAGGGGTAGTTAGAGGCTGTTCACCAACACGCCCTCTGTTTTCATTCACGCCGCTTCCCTGCTTCATCTCCAGCAGTCACTTGAGGAGACGCTGGCAGAGCCCGGCACAGGTGAACTTTTCAGAGGAGTACTCCTGTTCGTGGTCCGGTGCTTACTCCATCCAGGAGACAACTTCACTCCAGCAGAGTTCCGAGTTTCTGCTCTGTGTCTTTGCAGAGGGAGCGCTGCTGCAGCTTTAAAGGGATATAATTGAGTGTCAGTGATCACCACATCAGCTAATGCAGGCAATCATCGAGCTCGACCCCCAAACAGAGACACAGATTCCCATCAGCAGCCTCAGCTGTGTGCCCGTCACGCTCCCACGCTCACTTCAATTCTCATTTCTCTTCTGGTTGCAGCTCGCTGGAGCCTGAGCTGAGGAATTATCTGCTGTCAGGACCTGCCCGGGACAGAAGTAGGGGGGGTGAACCATGCTGTCCGCCGCTATTCAGATCCTGGCGTTCGCCCTGGCACTCCTGGGCGTCCTCGGTGCTGTCGTGGCCACCCTGATGCCCAACTGGAAGGTGAGCATCAACGTGTGGACCAGCATCATGACCCCGATATCGCAGATGCAGGGTCTGTGGATGGATTGCGTGTGGTACAGCTCCGGCGTCTTCAGCTGTACCGTAAAGAACTCGGTGCTGTCGCTGCCGCCGCACCTGCAGGCCGCGCGGACTGGCATGGTCCTGTCCTGCGTAGTGGCGCTGTTCGGACTCTGTCTCGCCACTTTGGGGCTCAAATGTACTCGCTGGGGGGGCAGCCACAGAGCAAAGGGGCACACAGCCATCGCTGCGGGGGGCTGCTTCATCCTGGCCAGCCTCCTCTGCCTCGTACCCGCGTCCTGGTTCACCAACGAAGTCATCACTGCCTTCCTGACCACAGACCTACCGGACAGCAGTAAATATCAGCCCGGCGGAGCTCTGTGCGTCACGTTCATCTCTGCTGGATTCCTCCTGGCCGGGGGGGTCATTTTTTGTTTGTCGTGTCCCGGAAAGAGAACGAGGCGACCGGATTGCGCTTCCCCCGCCGACCCCGACAGATTCACGCTGCACCCAGATGAGCGGAGGAGGCGGGGGCTGCAAGTAGAACGCAATCAGCCGAAAAACAGAAAGAAGACGGTCCAGCTGCAGGTAGACAGCGTGAAGCTGGAGAAACCCACGCCGCGCAAGAGACAGGAGCATCACTCGTCTCCATCCAAACTCCCTCAAACAGACATCAAGGACAGCTACAGCCTGCAGGAGTACGTCTGAAGCTCACGGCTATACTGAAACGTGGAGCTGAAGCTGAGGCGCTCTGGCTCGTTTGGAGGGGGAGGTGTGTGTACATGGGAAAATTACCAAATGTTGGAAATTACAGATTGTGGGTTGAGTCGAAAGTCTCAGCAGCAGAGAGAAAAAATCTGCAGACTGTAAATCCTTTAAAAACTGCCTGCCACAGCTTTCTGATACCAAAGGCCTAAAGGCAAAAATACTGAACCTGCTGACTATGAGAAAAGAAAAAAAAAACAGACATTCAAGCTGTGACTGAAATGGAAAAGCCATCATTTGACTTTATTTTCCAGCTGCAGCTGCAGTCTGCCTTCATACACTCAGCCATGCACTAACAGGGCCGGCCCAAAGCTTTCTGGGGCCGTGACAGGACTTTAAAAGCCAAACCCCCCACCACACACACACCAAACGCTGCATTACACTTCAGAAAGAAATGTTGGCCATACATTTTAATAATACTGTGTAGATGATGTTTATGTGATGTTCAGATACATCATCGGATTGTGAATCTAAAATTTTAAAATAATGTCAAAAAGTTGAAAAAAAAACCCTGTTTGTTTGAATCAGCACATCCAGCTGAGGCTGTTAGTTTGGCAGATTTAAACTAAAGCCTGACCTCAGAGTGAGGCTCAAAGTCACCCGTCACTTCATACTGTGAAGTGATAATTATTGGTGATCAAACTTAAGAACCATCAACATCAAAATGACATATTTTTCCCCCTGTGGGGGAAACAGAAATAAATCAAAAGATCACACTAACAGTTCAGGATCATCTTATTTTAAAACATGCAGCCGATCAAAAAAAGCTTTAAGCAGTTTCATCACCACAGCAACAGCTCCGCCTGCTTGTCACTGTTTGTTCAGTGTGAATGAAACACGCCGAGTGCTTTCAGATCCATGACATCCACATTTAAAAAACAAGAGTAAGAACAGGATTGGATCATCTGCAGCTAGTTTTCAGTAATATCCAGTAAACAGGCTGATTCCAAATCAGCTGTTTGTTATCACAGAAAAAACACTTTGACAAGTCCAAGTGATTCTATCAGTGTTTTTATAATTACTGAGAAAGTAATCACTAGGTTTCTCAAAGGGCTGAACTTTTAGTCACAGAATATTAAAACTGTGGAACATATGAAGGGAATTTTAAAACACCTTAAAACGTCTAAAAACAGCCGAACAAACTTGATGAATTTTGCTACTTTGTATATTTTTGAGGTCCTCGAAGTTCAAACCCAGAAAATCTGTAATTTAATTTAATGTAACTCATTTTATCCACTTCACTCATTTTTACTTGGTTACACAGACACTTCCTCCATGTATATCATGGCATGAAATGCAGCAACAATATTCATTTTAATATTTTGTCAGTAGCATTCTTGCTCATCACTGTGTGTGATAATTGCTTCATACCAGCTGCTAAGCTAATTATGCTAATAAAGCTGACTGTAGCTGTTTTGCTAGATAACAGCACAGCCGTGAACCACAATGAAATCTGCCACAGAACGTTAGCAGCATTAGCAATATTAGCAACAGTCGACTCGCCTAACAAGAAATTAGCAAATAACAGCATGTTAGCTAATGTCACCCATAAAACTTTATTAGAATTCAATGATAAAGTGAATAAAGTGACTAAAAGTCATTGAATGGCATCTTCCATGAGTCTGGTTCTGATTTTGATGGACAATGATTTTTGTTTTGTTTAGTTCCTTCTCTTTTTTCTTCTTTAACACAAGGAGATGGTGAGTTTAAAAAAAATGTATGTCATAGCTCACCCTGCTCATGGTCCATCATAGTTCACAGATTATTGTCTGTAACATCACAAACATCACCTTTGGCACAATTTCTGAAAAGACCCATTAACTGATAACTGTGTGCAAGTTTCATTAAAATCATATCAAAACTGTAGAAGACGTAGGAATCGCTGTGAGTTCTCACTGGTCCTTCGGCCAGATGAGCTAAAGAACAATTTTAAAAACTATTCAGTGGTGAGAATAAAATTATTAAACAAAAGTTTATTTTAAAAAACTGTTGCCTAAGTAATATTTTATTTTAGTTTATTTGTATTTTCCATCTAATTAATTGAGACTTTTGAGTTGATTTAATCTGTAATGCACAAAAAAAGCTGCCTTACTTCATGAGAAATATCCTGTGATTCACAGCAAATCTTTCTGGGAGGATTAGCGACACCAGTAAAATAAAGTGTTAAGCACTGCTATAATATCAGTGTCCAAAAAGAAGAAAATCAGGTGCATAGTTCCATCTGGTCATGTGCCCCCTGCTGGTCAGAGGCTGTGGTTTCAGATTGAGTTCATGCTGTCAGTGATTCAGTTGCTGTTTAAAGTTAGTGAACGGTGCTGTTGAACAGATTGTGCCTGAAGCAATAAAAACAATGACGAGCTTCTTGATTTCAGTGTGTTTGTAGATTTAAAGTCCAAATCCAAAGCATCTACCCAAAAACATCCACTCCACATTTTCCTGATGTTTTGGGGGGAGGTGAGAGGTGCACAGCAGCATGGAGAGAGGTAATGATGCTCTTTGCTTTCCCATTATCCTCTCACCACGGATGGATGCACACAGCACACAGACCCCCTCCACAGCATCCCGTGTCAGCTGAATGAGAAAGACATGAAGTCATTTTCTGGATGTAAATTAAACCCTGATGGAGACTGGAAGCTCCGCAGTCTCATGTGCATTTGGTGGGCGAAGTGTCCTTTAACCTGAGTGAGCTGTCAGTCACATGATCACCCATCAAGGAAAAGAGCACTGAGCTGAACGCCCATGCTGTCGATTTGTCTGCAGAAGCATTTCAGTGTCAAACCCTTGAGGAACAAGTTCATAAAGAAAACATTACACATTCATGAAAAGATCAGAACCCAGCAAACAAAGGCTGAAACAGCAGCGCTTCTCCCTCAGTGCAATCACATTACAACCATATCTGAAAAATGTGGTTGGCTTAGTTAGTGAGGATGATTTGACCTTTAGATAAAGGACAAATATGTGTAAATCCTTAATGTACAGTTCCTGCACTACTAGAACTTGGATAAAACACAACACAAGTCACACCAGCATACTTACTGCTGTATAACTGTAGAGAAAGAGTATACATTTTATTCATTATTTTGAACATGTCAAAGATTTTCAGTTCTCAGTACACCATACAGAACAATAACCAACCTGGGAGTGAGGTGTGTTTCTACCACACTGTTAGCATTTCTCTGCACAAAGTACACCAATCTGGGTTATTTTCCGCTTCAGTATCTTCGATATACTATTGCTATGTGATGTATTACTATTACTGAAGGCTGCATTACAGCCTACTAGCTGCAATTAATGATGTACAGTTCTGAAAGCAGAAAAAAAACATACTACTGATGCAGAAATCGTTTTCTATACGAGATCACTGCAAAAAGTGCAGCCTTACTAATGGCCACCGTACTGTTACTCATTTTATATTAAGATTTAAAAAACTGCAGAACTGCACATGATTATTTGCAGGTTGTTAAATAATTACATTTCTAAATTCTCTTTGTGCATTTACAGGTAAACGATATCTAATATTTTATCTAAATGACTGCTTTGTCTTTGAAAAGGTGAAGAGCCTGAGGCCGGTGACAGTCCAGTTCTACTCTAAGTACATCCTCACAGGACAAGGCCACATTCCTGTCCTGCCAGAAGAGAAGAGAAACTTCAGAGTCTTCATGCAGTTCAACCACACCTGTCATATTCCATATGACAGGGTCTCAAACTCCAGTCCTCGAGGGCCGGTGTCATGCAACTTTTCCATGTGTCCCTGGTGCAACACACCTGAATACAATTAGTAGGTCATTAGCAAGAGTATAGAACTTGACTGCATGCTGAGGTGGCAAACCCTAACCCTACTCAAGTAAATTTAAGTAAATGTATGTATTTGGAAACATATCCTTCTAAAAAAAACTTTTATTGCACCATGTTCATTCACTCATGAGCTGCTGTAACATGAATCAAATGGCTGAATTGCTAACTCAGCATGCAGTCAAGTTGTATAGTCTTGCTAATGACCTACTAGGTGTGTTGCAACAGGGACACGTGGAAAAGTTGCAGGACAGCAGCCCTCGAGGATTGGAGTTTGAGACCCCTGCTGTATGGTGTTCATGCAGTTTTCTACCCCACAGTTACAGCATGTCTGACTGCCTGTTCAGCATATGCAAAAATATATGATGAGTTTAAGCATGTGATGACAAAGGCCCACTGTCAGGGGAGGTGATGTAGGTATAGAGCATGTGAGAGTGGTTAAGTTAATGTCTCTTGTCTAGATGAAGGCATAAGAGGGATCAATGGCAAGGCGTAGAGATTCACTATCTTCAGTCTTCAGTGGACGCTCCATTTCTGGCACAAAACACCTGTAAAAAATGTTCGATTTAGGAGGTGACCCGACAACTTCAGCCTGTCAAACGTAGCAATGGAGTAGTACGTAAAAAAAAAACCCAATTAAGCATGCACTCAGTACCCTAAGAATTATTATGGTAGTTAAACACAGTGATAGTCACATATCACTTCAAACAGAGGTGATCCAGTAATGCTGCACTAGTGAATTACACTAACTATTCACTTTAGCTAAAGTTATTAAGTTAGCTAAAGAGTTAGGATGCTGTGTACATGTACAAACTCCAAAACACGTACAAAAGACAACAGAAGTGCTCCAGGATGCTAGGGTTGAGCTTTTGTTACCTAGTGGCTACACAAGCCAGCAAGTACCAAGGACCGGATTTGGTGTGTGGTAATAACAGGTAAATGAACTTTTTTTTTTTAAATTATTTGACTATATATGAATGCTTGTGTATAAATACACAAACAATTCACATATGCTTTCATGCTTTCAATTGTGTAATTTAAGTGATCTAGGTAGCTCTGTTTTGGGAGTTCAGCTCATGCTAGAAATGTGTTTTGGAGTTTGTACGTGCTTTTTGGAGTTTGTACGTGTTTTGTCTCTAGGGGCCACTGCATATATTTATATATAAACATATATAAATAAAAACCCTTTTTTTTTTTACATTAGTAATTCCTTTTGTGCATAATTTTATATTATTGTTAATAATAAATTAATTAAAGCAACAAAACAACCTGAAGATCCGGTTCAGAGCCGAAAGAGCCGGCTCTTTTTAGTGAGCCGAACCGAAAGAGCCGGTTCTCTAAAAAGAGCTGGAAATCCCATCG